GTATTATATCAGTGGCGTACAGGAGTTATAATGTATCTGTTCCGTATGGAATGCGAGTGAAGCGAGCATTGCTGGGGTCGGGGGACCGGCCCTCGGTGGGGGTTCAGGGGCTTGGATACGGGCTTGGCTATAGATATTCAACGAAATTGAGTGAATTTTATCTCTAGTACCTCCCTGGCTAATTTTATTAGTTGTTTGATAGCCATTTCACTACCTCAGCGGCCAAGGTTGTGAGCCTAGTCTGAGTAACCGGTCTACTGTTTAGATGTTAGGCCTTCCCATTGACACACCTGGTTTGGGATGGTTATTTTAATGCAATAATGCCATGTCAGTCCTAATTTATGTTGTACGCTTCATGCACATAACTAAGAGATCATTAAATTATATTATTTAAATCTAACTGTTTAAGGAAGTTAGCCGTTAGCACTGTTGAAATAAATATAATATATATTATCAAAGGTACATATACAGTGTTTAATAAGGACATGATAGAACATCGTAGGCTACCGTGTAGCTTTTCAACGAATAAAGTCCTATAAAAAGTCAAAATAATAGTGTTCAGTTAAGTAGAACGTAGGAACATATCAAATATCAAATGCAAAATTTATTTCCTAAAGCAAATAAACAAATTAAAAATATATTTATTATTTGCTTTTATAGCTCTTGCTAATGGTTTGATAATGTCAACAAGTATATCTGTATTGGGATTAATATTTGCCGACCATCTTAGTAACGCAATTGGATTTGTCACCCTGTTATTTATGATTGGCACCGCAACACCTTCTGTTACACAGGTAAGGTAATGACAATTAATAATTACTACTACAATAATAGTACTACTGTACCTGTTGCTGCTGCTGTTACTACTACCGCTGCTTTCAAAGCATTTTTTTTTAAAGATAATTGTTTGGGGGTTTTTCAAATTTTTTGTTTAAACAATGGAATTTTTATTTTATTCTTTATTTAGCAATTTATTTTTATGTTGTCATTGGTAGAGAATAGACCTTTCTGGAGTGTTGATCAAATTTATTATCTGACCAATCAGAAAATGGCCAGGAATGCGCGCGTGTCCATCAAACACACGTGTTGTCCCACAAACGCACGTGTTCGCGTATGTTTTTACACTGTCGTTTTGTGGGACCTTGGCAACAATGTCCAACGGGCTTAGAGGAAAGGTCCACTGGATAAATACGTCTCTTGATGACAGTTTTTATATTCTGCTCATTATAAGTTAAATCCCCATAAGCCGATTGGAAAAAAACGAACATTGTGTTCACTTTTGCGCAAATTCTTATTCCTATGTTTTTAATCGTTTGATTCTTTGACGCAATGCACGAGATGTAATTATTCAAGCATTGAAGCAAGCAGTGCACTCGTTGGAAATAAGTTATCCTTGGTGATCAGTAGCGTAGCGAGGTGGTGACGGGCCCCAGTGCAAGCCAATTACAGGGCCCTGAAATGCACATTATCGGACCCAGAGAGACGAAGCCTTGATGGGTACTTAGGCGAAATTCTTAATGCGCATATTTTCTGAGATTTTTAAAAACAGATATGGCATTGTAAAGCGCAGAAATATTCGAAAAAATATTCAAGGATATTATAAGAACAAAATGTGGTTGTCATATATTTGATCGTTTATGGCCTATTTTACATTTCAAGAGTCGCTGATAAAGTATAATATTAACAAAAATATAACAATCATCAACTTATTTGCAGTGAAATAAATCTAAAACCTATTCATGAAGTATGGTGACCTGACGAGATTTTAAAAAAAAGTGCAGAATACTAGTTAACCAACTTTAATATATCAAATAAAGACGTGGGTGCCGATATCCTAATTGTTTAAAAATAGGTTATTCTTTCAATAATCACTTTAGCGCATCGTACCGTGGTACGAATTACTGAATGAAGGAAGCTGTTCGTGACTAATCCTGGCTTGTTTTCTCTTCTTTTTTTTTTTGTGTAAATATATTAAAAAGTTTTCCAACTTGCTGTGTTTGGTGGCACGTAATAGGTAAATCGCAACAAATATAATCAAGGTTTGGCCTCTAAAACCTAATATTGTTGAGGTGTCTTTTTAAAATTTAAGTAGGAATGTTTAAAGTTATAATTTTAGATCTATAATCCTATTGAACGGGCCCCAATAGCCCTGGGCCCCAGTTCTTTGCACCAGCTGCACAGCCCATACTACGCCATTGCTTGGCGTTAACAAATAGTTAATTCTTTACGGTATAGCGGAATGGAAATTATATCGGAATTCTTAATTTTGGAATGAAGAATTTATATCAAAATAGTTCCTTGAAGTTCTTCTGACTGTTTTTCAAAAACTAGTATGCAAGTTATTACGCAATGTACCAATTGTGATTCTTTCATTTAAATAACTTAATTTTGGATGATTCTTAAGAATAAATAATAAAAATCTCATTATAGGCCTACCGTCCGTCATTACAATGTTCTTCCTGTTTTTTGTTTTTTTTGTGTGTGGTTTTTTTTCTTAGGTCTGGTTAGAAAATTATGGTTGGAGAGGGGCTTTACTTGTGACAGGAGCAATACATTTGCAAGGGTTAGTGACAGCAACGGCTCTTGATTCCAACATTGGCCGCAAACAGGACATCACTTACACACAACTTGGAAAACATGAAGACAAAACATTCGTAGAAAAGATTGGAGAACGTTTTCAACTTCACGTTTTCAGAAATATTAAATTAATCGGATTGTTAACTGTTTACTTTTGTAGCTGTTATACTGGGGTCATGTTCTTCTTGAGTTTAATACCGTACGCCATTAGCATCAGTATTGAGCCTATGTATGCAAGCTTTCTGAAAACGCTTGTTGGAATCGGAAGTGTTATTGTCAGAATGGTACAGTGTATTGTTCCACAGACGGTCAAGATATCAGCCAAGCTGTTGGTGCTACTACAAATCATCGACGTCATAGCACTTACAGTTTTCATATTCTCGAATCAGTATGGTGCTCTGGCTATAACGTCATTTACACATGGAGCGGCATATGGAATGCAATCCTGCTTAACACTCTTCCTGGTAATAAAGTCAGTGGATACATCATACACTGGTGTCGCCATTGGCTGGTGTAATGTATTTGCAGGCATAGGTCAAATTTCGGCCGGATTACTGGGTAAGATTGCTTCTTTTCTGCTCGTTTCTGTGCAAACAATTGAAGCCTATCTGAATTAGCTAAAACAGCAAACAAATCAGTTTTTGTAGGCTTGCGATGAGCAATACCTTTTATGTAGGCCCAATCCTATATTTATTTTAATATCTTTACAACATCCTGATGTCCTAATTCTGTGATATAGTCATAATATTATTATTAATAATAATAATAATAATAATAATAATAATAATAATAATAATAATAATAATAAAAATAATAATAATAATAATAATAATAATAATAATAACAATAATAATAAAAATAATATGACTTACTATGTCTGTTTGAACAACAGAAAAGTGAAACAATGAAGTGCGAAATAAAAAAAAACACGAAAGCCAAGTTCACTGCGACGTTATTAGTGAGACTTGGACTATGGCTGCAATGGTAATAGCGAAGTACATCGTGACTCGTAACCATTGCACGCTATAAGCCGACCTTGCATAGGAAAGTGCATTTTCAGTTCAAAGCGATTCAATGATTGAAAGTAAAAATTTCCATATGCATATCACGGGAGTTTTGAGTTTAACCTAGTTGTAGCTGGTTTAAGTGCTTTAGAAAACACAAATTGCGTTTAAATTATTCAATCAATGTCAACAAAAAATCTTTAAATGGGCCTCATATTCACACCCCACTGTTGATCGTCACCAAAACCTTTCTGCAAAGTGTCATTTTTATCCATCTATAACTGGAACGTAAGCAATTTAAATGACCCTCAAATTTACACCTTAACCTGGATCGTCCCCTACACATAATAATATCTTCCTTGTAACTCGGGTTAAACTTTCCCAAAAGTTTCATTCGGATCAGTTGACCCATTTTTTTAAATATCTGGTCTGGGACGTTTTCCTTTAAATGGTCCTCATATTCACACCCTACGCCGGATCATCATAACAATTTCTTTACTGGAACTTTACAAACTATTATAGAAAGTTACATTTACACCCATTGAAAATTTACTATAGATATTTACGTCTGGAATCTCAAAAATATAAATGACCCTCCAATTTGATTCGTCGCCAACACATAATACTATCTTCCTTGTAACTTGGTTAATTTTTTTCTGAATGTTTCATTCAGAGCAGTTGATCCGTTTTCGAAATATGTGGTCTGGGACGTTTTCCTTTCAATGGTCCTCAGATCTACACCTTACTCCGGATCGTCACAAAAATGTAATCATTTCTTTACTCGACCTTGACAAACTGATATACAAGGTTTAAATTATACCCATTGATTTTTTTAAAGAGATATTTAGGTCTCAGTATGTCGACATTAATTATGTCATCATCAGGAATGATGACGACATACGGTATTATTCCTGATGATGACGTAATTAATGTCGAAATATTGAATCCCGACACGATGGCGTGCATTTCGATACTTGGAGTAGGCTATGTATTATACTATCTTATCCGAGATTAATCAGTGGAACTTTCGATATTTAGGTCTATGTCCTCAAAAATTGAAATGACCCTCTAATTTACGCCCTTGACTGATTCGTCGCCAGCACATAATAATTTCTTCCTTGTAACTTGGTTAAAGTTGATCCGTTTTCGAATGTGGTCTGGGACGTTTTCCATTAAGTGGTCCTCAGATCCACACCATACTATGGATCGTCACAAAAGTTTAATCAGTTTTTTACAAGACTTTACAAAGTGTTATAGAATGTTTCATTTAGACACATTGGTTTTTTTTAAAGAGATATTTAGGTCTGGGTCCTCAAAAATTGAAAATTTTTAATATATGCAAGAAAAAAAATCACAACAAAATGGCTTTTTTTAACTGCTGGAAAAAGCCAATAATAACTATAATAATGATGATGATGATGATGATAATAGTAACAAGAGCACTCAAGAGCACTTAGTAGAGAGCATATCTCCGTTCACCGCAAATCCCTTAACATAAAATAAATCCCTTTTTCAGATTTTGTCATCCGAATTTCACCAAAATTAAATGTCGGCCTACTTTTCACTATACATGTTACGTTAACACAGAAATATATAGTATTGAAACATTTTATTTTCAAATAGGGTTTGTAAAAAAATGTGATAACCCACTTACTTTCCTGCCACCACATACTTAAAAAACGTAGGCCTACACTAACCAGCAACGCCTTTTATTGTATTAGTTGTATACCGGCCAATTCCTTACTTCTTCTGGTTAATCACAAATCAAGCATGAACATTTTTCTTTTATAGTTGACAAAATAAATACATGCCAGGTATTGGTGTTGAAATATAAATATTATGCAAATAGTCAATGGTTCATATCGTCACATGTTTAAATATAAAGTTGCATTAAAAATATTTCCAATCAGTTCCCAAAAAGTAAAATTAGTACATATAAAACGCTGTACACTTTACTGTAATTGCACTAATTTTAGTATTCATCACACTGCTATTGTTATCTGCCTACGGTATACTGTAAACTTATTCTTTAAATGGTCCTCATATCCACACCCTACTTCGAATCGTGACCAAAATTTAAACACTTCTTTATTAAAACATTTCAAACTAGTCTGCCAATTGTTATTTTTCTATTTTCGAGAAATTCTTGACTGGGACTTTTTGGTCTTCAAATGCACTTCCAAATTTGGATAGTCATCATTACATCGTAATGTCTTCCTTGTACCTTGGTTAAACTTTCACGAAAGTTTCATTCATATCAGTTGATTAGTCATGTCTAGGACATTTTCATTTAAATGGTCCTCATATCCACACCCTAATCCGGTTCGTCACCAAAATGTAATAACCTCATCCTTGGGTAATACCTAACAATCCCTGTAACTTCAATTTAGGACCTGTGCAGCTGTTTTTGAGATATTTAGAACACTAAAAACGCGCACTACCTTAATCATTTAAGTGACCCTCCAGTTCACTACCTGAATTTGGATCGTAACCAGTGCTTGATAATTTCTTCCTTGTAACCTGTTTAACCTTTCACGAAAGTTTCATTCATATTACTTAATTAGTATTTGGACGTTTGCTCTAAAATCTGTTTATATAGTCCTCACATCCACACTCTACTACAGCTGTCTCTTATACACATCTAGATGTGTATAAGAGACAGGCCTACGGTATACTGTAAACTTATTCTTTAAATGGTCCTCATATCCACACCCTACTTCGAATCGTGACCAAAATTTAAACACTTCTTTATTAAAACATTTCAAACTAGTCTGCCAATTGTTATTTTTCTATTTTCGAGAAATTCTTGACTGGGACTTTTTGGTCTTCAAATGCACTTCCAAATTTGGATAGTCATCATTACATCGTAATGTCTTCCTTGTACCTTGGTTAAACTTTCACGAAAGTTTCATTCATATCAGTTGATTAGTCA